ACACACACACACACACACACACACACACACACACACAAATAAATAAATTAAAAAAAAATTCACTTTATTCACTTTCAGTGAAACTGGATGTATTTGCTAATGCAGAATAATCTCTTCTGTGAATAACACCAAATCCAGTACTATTCAAAAAAAAAATCTTAAAGGTTTTTGACCATTTTAGACATAACTAACGTGTTCTAGGACTGAAACTGACACCACTTTTCTTACTGGTAATAACCCCTGCCTATTCCACTGTCTATTTACTAAAAGCACTGAGGCTTGGGCTTAAGGTCAGTGTAGATCTGTTGGCTCATAAAACATTAATTGCATAAATGCTAAGGACCAGTTGTTGGTAACAAAGGTCTAACTCCTTAGGCATATGGACTCTAGCCAGATTTCCAAAAGGAATGACTTTTTCCTTGGGGAGGGTCAGTTGAATAATACATTTCATAATACAATATTTTAAATGAAAGGAGACAGTTTGCACTGATGTACAGTTTTGTATGTCAAAATTGTAATAATATAAATTGTAAACGAATTAGAATCAGTTTTATTGTGAAGGTGGTGCAGTCACGACTCTTTCTGGAGTGGGTGGGTGGGGGATGCTTGCACTGTCACCAGGATGCTTCTTACACTAGACTACAGTGCACGCGCTCCCCTCATGTGACTGTGACCATCTCACTCTTCATTCAAAAGGAGGAAGCTTTTGCATCCACTTAAGAACTGCGAGCTATTTTCTCTGCACATTAAAAATAGAAATTCACCTTAGTCCTGAAAGACAGTCTGCGATGGCGACACATTCATCACGGCTTTTGGACCAGCTCAGAGCACTGCAGCAGGGACTCAAGACCTCCAGGGAATGCACTCAGATGTTTCCTGGGCATTACAAATCCCCTTTGTGTCTGAGGCCTGCGACAGAGTGCTACAGATGTCACACAAAGGCAACCCGCCTCCCTTGGGATAAGACTGGGGCTGATCCCTGGAAAGTAGACAACACGGTGTCTCACTGTTATTAAAATCCAATAGCGATTTCCAAGATGTGTTTCTTGTGCACCTGCTATACTCTTCAGGAAAGAAGGGGTTTGGGGGTTCCTTTTAAAAGTCCTCGAATAAACCAGACTTGTAATTAAGCATCGGTGCTTCAGATAGAAAAGAAACCCTAAATTCTTCCTTGCCTTCCAACCTTCCTGCCTTCTAAGCAGGCAGAGGCTTACTCTGATGAAGTCGGCTCGGCGTGCTCTTTGAAAAGACGCCAAGTCCATGGAATATGGGACGGCCACCCACACCCCGCCCCCAACAAAAAGTGCAAGGAGCGCGTGGACGGCGGTGGCGGAAGTTACTGCAAACCGCGCTTTCTGAGTTTGCCGGGGAAGGAGGGTGCGGCAGGTGCAGGGAGCTGTCCCAGCCAAAGAGAGATGCTCGCTGCTGCTCACCTTTCTCCGCCGTGCTCCGAGTCGCTGTCCGAGGCCCACTCTTCGCCTATGTCCGGCAGGGTGAAGAACAGGGTCTTGGGGCCG